TGAACAAATCTTAAATCAGAACACCAAGGGCTATGAGCACCAGCTTCATTCTATTAACTGAATTTACACTTTTCATATGGCCTGAGCTCCCACGGTATTTGGATCCTAAAGATGTAATACTTCACTATTTCTAAATAGACGTTATGCCGTCATTACTTTATTGCGAGAGAGAAGAAAAATGTTGTTGGGTTTCAAACAGAAACTATCTCCAATTGTGTTTCACCCAAGCCACAGGGAAAAGGAACAGCCAGCTTGTGCTACTCCTCTTCAGTCAGTCACTGGGAAGCAGGCACGTGCCAATGGTGACTGGTCATTGCATGGAGAGGAAAAACATAAATGCCTCCGATCCGCTCAATTTCATTCCACTCCCCACCTTTATCCATCCAGGACCAAATGGCCACGATCAGGAATTCATCTAGATGGGGAGACAGAAAGTGCTAAGAAACACTTCCAAGCACATTGCTGCCAAAGTATGTCCTGGACGCAACAAAACAGGACCAAATCCAATTTGGCCAATGACCTTCCCACCAGTCAACATAACCATCAAAATGAAGGAAGGAGATGGGCAGTGCTATCAAATGCCAGTTATACAGCAATAACATGTTACCAATGCTCAGTTGGTTCATTAAGGGATTCTAAGCTTCAGACATCACAGTCTTGGTTCAAATGAGAGCCTGGGTGCAAATTGGGAAAGAACATGTGCAGGAACAAGGGCAAGTGGGAGAGCGAGAACAAGAAGGCAACAGAGAGTGAGCACACAAAACAGTGAGTGAGACACATGGAGTATGAGATTGAGCATGGAAGAACGAGAGTGAAACAGTGAGAGTAGCCACGAGACAGAGGCCAAGCAAGCGCGAGAGGGAATGAGAGCGAGCAAGCACATGAGAGAGAGCACTTTGCTGGATGGCATCAGGCCCAAAATAAAAGTAGATGTGGTTATGAGGCCAACTACTGCACCTGTTGGGTATCTCTGCAGTAGTTTCTCAGGCTACTGTCCCATACCCAACCATCTAAGGTGGCTTTATCAATGTCCTTCCTACCATCACAAGATCAGAAGTGTGAATGTTCGTTGATGATTGCACAAGGTTTATTTCCATTCATAACTCCTCAGGTACTGAAACAGTCATGTCCACATACAGCAAAGAACTAACCAACATTCAGACTCAGCCATCTATGTGACAAGTAATATGCACACTACATAACCATCTCCAACAGATTGATTGATTGATTTATTGTCACATGTACCAAAATACAGTGAAAAGCTTTGTTTGCAAGCGCTACAGGCAGATCACAACAAGCAAAAAGGATGTACAGATCAAAAAGACTTAGAGGCATACAGGTTATGTTATTTGAGACTTGAGTCCATTCAACAGTCTGATAACGGTTGGAAAGAAGCTGTTCCTGAACCTGCTCGTGCATATGTTCAGGCTTCTGTATCATCTGCCTGAAAGATGAGAATTGTAGGAGGTCAATACCGGGGTGCAATGGGTCTTTGATGACGTTGGTTGCATTTCTGCAGAAGCAAGCTGTGTAAATAGGGTCCATGGATGGCAGGTTGGTTTCTGTGATGTTCTGGGCTGCGCACATCACCTTCTATAGTTTCTTACGGTCCTGGGCAGAGCATTGCTATAGCAGGCCGTTATGCATCTGGATAGTATGCTGTCAATGGTGCATCTGTAGAAATTCATGAGGGACCTTATGGACATGCCAAATTTCCTGAGCCGCCCAAGAAAGAAGAGGCGCTGTTGTGCCTTCTTGACTGTTGCATTTATCTAGGAAGCCCAGGACAGGTCATCAGTTATTATCACTGAGGAACTTGATTCTCTTCACTCTCTCAACGTCAGTTCCGTTGATATAGTTGGGGGCATGTTCTCCTCCTTTCTTTATGAAGTTGATGATCAGTTCTTTAGTTTTGCTGACATTGAGAGAGAGAGGTTATTTTAATTGTACCATGCCACCAAGCCCTCTATCTCCCTTCTGTATTTTGACTCATCGTTGTTAGATATCCATCCCAATGAACTTGTAGATGGCGTTCATTTGGAATTTGGCAACATAGTCATAGGTGTACAGCGGGTACAACAGGGGGCTGAGGATGCATCCTTGGGGCGGGCGGGGGGTTGGGGAAGCTCCAGTGTTGAGTGTTATTGGGGAGGAGGTGTAGTTACCTATCCTCATTGTTTGCAGCCAATGGGTCAGAAAGCTAAGGGCCTCTCCAGTTGCAGAGATCGGAGCCGAGACCAAGGTCACACCGTTTTAAGATCAGTCTGGAGGGGATAATGGTGTTGAAGGCAGAACTGTAGTCAACAAGCAGGAGTCTGACGCAGATGTCTTTGTTGTCCAGATGTTCCAGGGATATTGCATCTTCTGTGGACCTGTTACGTCAGATCACAAACTGTAGGGGATCGAGTCAGATTGGGAGGCTGGAGTTGATGTGGGCCATGACCAGCCTCTCTAAGCACTTCATGGTTACTGAAGTCGGAGCTATTGGGCTGCAGTCATTAAGGCACACTGCAAAGAATCTAGCCATAGCCCCTTGACATTCAAGGGCATTGTCGTCACTGAATCCCCCACTAACAACATGGTGGGGATTTACCATTTAACAGAAACTAAACTGGACCAGCCACATAAAGACAGCACTGTGCTTATAAGAGCAGGGCAGAGACTGGGAATACTAAACGAGTAACTCAAGTACTGACACAAAATCTACCCATTATCTATTAAGGTACTGGTCAGGATTGTGATAGAACACTCTCCACCTGCCTGAACAACTGCAGGTCAAATAACAGTCCAGAAGCTCGAAACAATCCAATGAACGGCCCACATCATTGGCAGCCTATCAACATTCAATCACTCTATCACTGACTCTCAGCGGCAGCACTGTACACATGCATAACATATACAGCAAGAACTCACCAAGGCTTCTTCAACAGCATCTTCTAAACCTCTGACCTCGACCAACTAGAAGGATAAAGGCAGCAGAGCACAATCATTCATACATTCCCTTCCATGCCACACACTATCCTGACTTAGAAACTATACCGCTGTTCCTTCACTTTCATTGGGTAAAAATCTTGGAACCCTCCTCTCTAGTAGAGCTGTGAAAGCATCTACATCACAATTCAAGAAAGTGGTTCACTACCACCTTCTCAAGGGAATTAGAGGTGGGCAATAAATGCCATGCTTGCTCGCAGTGCTCATAGTCCAAATAGGGATCAAGAGAAACATTTCTGGAGTGGTGCTTTTAATTCATACTGCAAATGTTTGAACCAGATACAAACATGCAACCAGCAATACAACACACTAAATGTTGTGACAAATGACACCCCAATGAGATTAGAGAACTTAATTATCCACCCATTATCTGTAAATCTAAATCCATACTGCTCCACTGATATTTTTCCACAGTATGAAAATTTCAACCCCACAGGGAGATGTAATCGAATCCCAGCAACAACACCGGTGCAATCTGAAACATGGGTAAAAACTAAATAACAAACATAAAGTGAATATCGTGAAGCAGTACATGTGCCTAGAAACCAACAAGAGCATGGCTGATTGGATTGTGACCTCATTCCCATTTTCTTTCCTGGCCCATGTATTGGCCCATGCTCCAGTCTTATAGTGCTACGAGCTGGACCTGAAGTTTACTGCTCATCTGGCCCTCCTGCACACCACAGGACCTTGGGGACAAAGGAAACAACAATGATAAAAATTCAGAAGCAAGAAAGACAGCAGCCAGCAATGTAATAGGGTGTATTAGCATGTAAGCTAGGAAACTAATGTCCTTTAGGGAAGGAAACTGTCAACCTACATGTGATTCCAGGCCCAAAGAAATGTGTTTGACTCTTAACTGCTCTCCGGGCAATTAGGGATGGTCAATAAATGCTGGCCTAGCCAGAGATGCCCTCATTCTGGTAAGTGAATAAAAAAATGTTTCCAAAATCTCAGCTGGGCAATCTTGGAAGGTAAAGAATGAGAGACAAAAATCAGAATTGGAGTTAAATAGTACTGTTTACACATGCCTTCTGGTTGTTGGTGTTTCATTGACAATCACACAGCCTGTAAGCAGTGTGCCTAGCAATGCTCAGTGGATAACACTTGGGGGCGGGATGGACGGCAGCAGGGAGCGGGGGGGGTGGTGGTGTGGTAGATGTTAATACTAGCAAAGGGCTTACAAAATGGTGGAGAGAGAGTTGGAAAATAGGGCTCTTTTTGTTAAGAAATATCCTAAACTAAATACAGAGCACATATTTTCGGAATAGAAAGTTACCATTTTTTACTACAGGCTCCAATGCAAGTTCAGAGATTCAAACTTTGTCACTGAAAGACAAGAGCTTTAACTCCATGCTGCTCTTTGTCTAATAGACCCTGTGTTACCTCTGTTTGGCTATAATCCTTCACCATAAATATTGCCATTTAATGAAACATATTTAATACTTCTCTCTTTTTATCCCACACTGTATCATGAACTGAAAAACAATGATGTCCTTGAAGCATTAAGTTTGACTTGAAACAATACACCTGTTATTTTTAATGGTAGGCAATACAACATAACATGACATCCTAACAGGAACAATACTGCTTAGGAATGCATAACGCTTTAACACAGGGTGACAATGCTCTTTTGAATGCATCTTCAAACTCGGCTTAACCAGACTTTCAATTCTAGAGTTGGATAACTTTCTCTTTGTAAATTCCAGCAGTCTCAATTTTTTCTATCATTTTTGTTTCCAGGTTGAGATTTCATTTTTGTTTTATTTATTAAGAAATTTAAATGATAAAGCAAGGTGAAAGGAGAAATGCAGTTAAGATCTTTTACAATGCACTTCCAATGTTGCAAGTGGACTTACACTCTTAGAATTTCAATTTCATCAAACTGTCTTCTATTTTTCAGTGCCGTTTCTTCTCATCACTTGCATAGGGCTTGCTGTGCTAACCAGACAGCTTTCCCTTATTCAGCACTTTAAAGTGTTAAGGGGAAATTAACTCTTTCCACTCACCTGGAAAAACCCTTTCCACAGCTGATGCAAATGTAAGGTTTGCCCACCGCTCCATCATGAGACCGAATATGGTAAGTCATCCGGTCCTTTCGCTTGAATCGCTGGTGGCAGATGGGACACTCAAATGGCTTTTCCCCCGAATGCGACAGTTTGTGCCGATTCAAGTGGTAAACGTCCCTGAAAGCTTTGCCACAGAGTTCACAGGCCACGTTCTTCCGCATTCTCCCTCTTTTACGGGGAAGATCGAGGCCACTTGAAGATGCCAGGAGACTGTCACTGAGTCCTGGAAGTTGATTTTCCCCTGACCCCAGCTCCACACTCAGCCCAGTATGTTGAGCCTCATGGAGCAACAGGCGATTTGCATTCTTGAATACTTTCCCACAGAAACTGCAGGGGTAAAAACCCTCATCCCTCATGGCCAAAGGGGCTGTCAGCAGTGGCAGGTCCAGCAAAGAGGATTTCCGAGGCCGCCCGCGTCCCCTCTTTACAACCTTGGCATGATCGGTGTTCACCGAGTTCACAGGGGCCTGGAACTGACCAGCCACAAGGGTGGGCGCAGCAGGAGAGGTCACCAAACCATCCACAGCAGGCAATGAGCCAGGCAGGGAGGGCAGACTAGCTGCAGGGGCACCAGGGCTGCCCACCTTGACCTCACCAGCCCCCAACAGGTGCCCATTCTCACCCACAAAGTTGCCATTGGCACAAGTAGCAGCTGCAAGATCCAGGGTAAAGCCGAAGTCCACATTGGCAGCGGGGCGAAAGAGCATCATGTCCCCTCGGGCTGGGGGCACCATGATCTGGACATTGGACTGTTTGATGACCTCCTGGCAGATCTCGATGATGGACCTCATCAGCAAGAACTTGGCAGCTGTCATAAGCTCGGGGAAGCTCTCCAACCTGACCACGATGCGGGAGGTGTAGGCGAAGTCCAGGATGTCCCTGAAGACCTTGGCGCTGATAGTGTGCATCTCCAGCTCGCGGCCCGCCGCCTCGTCCGCCGCCGCCGACCCGAACACTGACTCAAAGTAGTCGCTGCAAGCGGCCAGCACGGCCTTGTGAGCCGGGAAGCTCTCGTCGCCTACCCGCAGCACCACATCGCAGAAGCGGCCGCCGTTCTTCCTCTGGCCGTTGAGTTTCTTCAACATGTCGGCACTGTGCTGGCTCACCTGGTAGGTGTAGCTGTTCCAGGCCTGCTCGGCAGCTCTTTCCATGGCAGCCCGACCGCCTGCTCGGTCACTCACTCACTCAGCGACAAACAGGGAACAACAACAACGGGATTATAAAAACCTCCACACCCCCCCACCCCACAGAAATAAATAATGAAGGGAAAGGCACTCGAGATTTTTTTTAATAAGCAGCGCACTCCCCGCCTCGCTTGACTCTGGCAGCCCGATGCTGAGGCCCCACGGACAGCCGGGCTTGAGGGGTGGTTTTAGGCCGGGGCCTGAGCCTGGGCCGCGGGGGGATGGGGGGAGATCCTTCCGCTGCTTTTGTTTCACCTCCGAGCCCGGGCCCCCACCATCCGGAGCCGCCTCCAAACAACATGGCAGCGCGGGCGCTTCCGCTGGCGGCGACCCCTCCCCCCCTCCCCTGTCGGCAGGACCCCCCCCCGCCCCGGACGGACACACGTACACACACCACCGCCATTCCCCTCTGCAGATCACACTCAGGGCCAGAACCCATCACCTCACAGAGGCCCCCCCCTCACCCTAGCTAGATACCTCATTCCCTCTGTACCCCATCCCCGTCTGGCCCACATCATCCCCATACTGTCTATGCCTAGGCCCTCATCTCCCGACAGAACACCCCACCCTGGGCTGCACTCCCATTTCCCACAAACTAATCCAACCCAGCTAAATCTCCCAGCTCCCTCTGTCCCTCGGCTAACACCTTGGGCCAGACTCGATGTCCATTCCTCCCATACCAATCACCCTCACTTAAACTCCTTTCTACCTCTGCCCCAGACCAACACCCCTTCGACTATTTGGCCAGACACCAATTCATTCCCTGACCAATCCCTCTGCTTCCAGAGACCCTCTGGCCCTGGACCCCATTCTCCAACTACCCCTTCACTTCCCAGCCAAACCTCCAACCTCACTGCCAGCAGATGCCCATTATCCCCAACCATCCCCACCCTGGCTCAACAGCCCAAACCTCCCCCAGGCCACTCCAAATCTCTTCTGTGACCACTCCAATTTTCATTCCCTCAGAGATAGCAAGAATTGCAGATGTTGGATTCCAGTCAACACAGTGTGGAACCAGAGGAACACAACAGGTTAGGCAGCATCAAAAGAGCTAGGAGAGTCGACATTTCAGGCCTAGACCCTTCACATCAGAATCCTGATGAAGGATCTAGGCCCTCAGACTTCTCCCTGACCCTGGCCAGGACTCATCTGCTTCTAATCCAGATCACCCCACCCTGGCCAAACACCTCCAATCTGGCTGGAGTCCCCAGTACAAACTACACACCCCACTTCCCTGCTGTCCAGAACCCCCACATCCTACCACCAGATCACATCACAAACCCCTTCAGCCACACAGACTCCACCATGACCTACCTTCACACACCCTGCTCTCCCCACACTAACCAGAGCATCCCCTCCCTTAGAGACAAAAAAAAACTGCAGATGCTGGAATCCAAGGTAGACAAACAGGAGGCTGGAAGAACACAGCAAGCCAGGCAGCATCTGGAGGAAGTGAGCAGTCTGGATGGATGCAGGGGTAGGGAGAAGCTGCAAAGAGAAGGGGGAGGGATAAAGGTGGAATGGTGGTGATAGGTGGACACTGGTAGTAGGTACGACCTGGTTGATCAATGGGAGGGATGAATTCCTGAAGAAGTGTAATAACAAAAACATTGAACTGCTCCTTTCCTTCAGATGTTACCTGGCTTGCTGTGTTTTTCTAGCCTCCAGTCTGTCATCCCCTCTCTTACCCAGACAGCCCACTTTCCTCCCCCAAACACCCCGAGCAGAACATCTCCATTACCCAAACCCTCCCACATCACCTACCTAGAACATTTATTACAACCTTTTATGATCTCCCCACCCAGATCATTCCACTTCTCCAACACAACACTCAACTTCACCAGACAGCCCTATACTCCATTCCCATAACTACACTATACCTTTACCCTCCTCCCCCATTCCACCCCTTCCCCTCCCCTCACCACCTTCTTCCCCCAACATCTTCCTCCTCTCCCCCATATCCCCTCCACATAACCCCTCCTTCCTCTATCTCCCCACTCCAAACCCATCTTCCTCCTGTTCCATGCCATCCCCATCCTCCTCCTCCCATCCCCATCCTCCTCCCATCTCCCATCGTCACCACTCCTCTTCTCCCAACTCCCCTTCCTCGCATCCCCTCCTTCCCTCTCTGTTTCTTCTCCCTTTGTCCACCTCCCTGACTCAGTCCACCTCCTCTGAACCTCCCATTCCTGTAAACACCCCCCTTTTCTTCCCTTCCTCTCCCTTCCATCCTCACTCTTTCGATTCCCCTCCCCCGAACCACTCAGCTGTGTGTAAATTTCATACATCTCTGCATTCATTTTTAACGCAATAACTAACAATTTGCAAACGAGGGGTTGGGTGAGCCGGTTGCTGCTGCATTCCAGTGTTTCTTTTGCTTTAAAGATCAAGACAGAAAACAAATATAAATGCAATAACGTCTCCAGCAGGAGGGAAGACTCAAATATCTAATGCATTAATTCTTCAAACAATTAAAAGTTTGCAAGATCGAGTACTCTCAAGTTTCATTGATTTTATTTCATAATGTAATATATCACACTCTGAATTTAACAAATCAAATTGAAAAAAATCAGTTAAACTTCCTCTGTCTCTAACAAAGATATGTTCTCTCCTTCGGGGTCATACGCCTAATGCTTCCTACATAGGCTTTTGTGCTTTCTATTTCCACATGTTTAAATCAGACAAGAAATTTGTGCATTTTGAAAGTGAGAGTTTTGTAGATTGCATAACGTGTGCCACCGATACATCCACTAAATCATTCTACAAAAGCATGCTGATCAAAACAGATACTTTATGCGCGGTTCTTTTTAATGATGAACAACTATGCGTTTCCTCGAGGCATTTACTTGCAATCTGGTTTGTTTTCAGTTGGCTGCAGAACATATTTCCAGACTGCAACGCATTAAAAGAGGTTTTATAAACGAGGATTTTACGCTTCGACCCACGTGTATTGTTCCTTTCAGCCGTAAAAACAAAGCATTTCCTACTTGACGCCACGCTCACTATTCCCATTCTGCAGCTACTCCAATAGACTGCATGTTTTCACGGAAGTGCAGCTTTGTTTTAACCTGTGTAAAGGAGCTACTTACTTATTGCCAATCCTTTAGCTTTTTTACAATCAGTTTTGGTTTGATGTAGAACTAAATAGGTTTTCTTTCTGAATATTGTAATTGCATTCTGCGCGGTTACGTATTTAGCTCCCTGCCTTCAGAGATATAGCCTTATGTTACCAAGTACCGCCCTTTGCCCTAACACAAACACACAGGTACCCACATTCCAGTTCCAGACAAATCATGACACTGGTGCATAAAGGCTTCTACATTCTGAAATTTGAAAAGCCAGATTCACATAATGTGAAGAACAAAGTGTTGAAAAGCAATTTTAGATTCACCATAGTGTCTTTCCCGTGCGTTGGATGCCTCATACTGTTTCTGAAGCAGTAAAGTAAGTAAACTATAATCACGTTTCATTTGCACACAAGGTCCCAAACCACAATAACTACATCAGTTCTGAGGAAGGATCACCGGACCTGAAAGGTTTTCTCCTTCACAGATGTTGCCAGACCTGCTGAGCTTTTCCAGCAACTTTGTTTTTGAACAATAACTACATTTTAAGTTTTGGAGTATAATAAAAAAAACAGATCTGGCAGCATGTGTAGGGAGAGTTACAGTATTTGTCCAGTGTGACTCTTCTTTGGAAGTGTTCTAAAGAAATCATAACAGACTTTTAAATATTCACTCTTTTTCTCACAAAGGGGCTGCCAGATTTCTTGAGTTTCTCCAGCACTTTTGTTTTATTTCAGATTTCTAGCATTGACAGTATTTTGCTTTTATATGATTTGACGATATTGATTAAAACATATAATCATAGTGGGGGGTTAAATTAGGAGGGCAGTTTGCATATACTTGACTAGTATTCCCCTGAGAACAGAAGGTTGAGGGGTGATTTCATGGGTAATGTTGAAAGGATTTAATGGGTTAGAAATAGAGAGACTATTTCATTTCATGGTGGAATAAAGAACCAGGGTATGCAACGTAAAGCCTGAGCAAAGGTCAAGGAGGTACAAGAAGTGAAATAGGAAAACACAAAAAGAGTAAACTGAAACTGAAATTCTCTCTGTTCAAAGTTTGATATTGATATATTTTGTCAGGTGACACTATCAACTGAAATAGAGTGATGAATGGAAAATTAAGAAGCCAGATCAGCTGGAATTGGGACTGAATAGGCTTGTCCTTTCTCTAATGTTGGCCAAGATAATGAAAGAACTCCCTGGTCTTCTTCAAGTAACATTGTGGCATCTTTTATACTCATCTCAACATAGCTGTTATTTTGTGCCACAATTGAAATACGGTACTGCCATATAATGCAACACTGCTTTAGTACTGAAATGAAGTATCAACATGTTTATGTGCTTGAATCCCGAAGTTAGGTTTGAACCCACAATCTTATCACTGATAAAGTGGATATAATCGTGATAATATATTTTCAACATTCTACGTGACAGGAGAAAATGAGAAAAATATAAGTCTCATATAGAATTTCACTAAGTATGCGATTTCCTTTGAACAATATACCTATATTTTACATCTTAATTGGTTTATTTACTTTCATATTTTAATTAAATGAAAACTGATGTTTCAGTTCAAACAATTTACATCCATAAAGAGATTGGGGGAGTGTCCTAATTCTAAATACGATGCCCAAACCTTCCTTCTCTATCTGGGCGCATTTACGCTTGGCATTAGCCAAAATCTGGATGCATACGGTGTTGGTCATTCCTCTCCATTGGGCCACCTAATAAGCTAATACTATCTCAATGCCGTACGAGGAGGCATCGCATGTCAATACCAGATCTCGCTTGGGATCATAGTGTGCCAATACCTTACAGGATGATAGCTGTTTCTTCACTTCTCTGAAAGCTATGACTTGGCAATGTGACCATTTCGAAGGCTGACCCTAAGCTCTGGTATAGACATTGGAGCCAGAGCACATTTGAACGCCCTCAATTTATCTGCCAACGGGTGTAACCCATTCTTATTGGCTCTGTAACCCAAATAGGTCACTTAAAGTGGCTGGAACACACAATTTTTCCTTCTTAGATGTACACCCACCTGGAAGAACCATCTAAGGACCATATCCAAGAGCTCCTTATTGGTCTTCCCATGTTAATAGCATGTCATCCAGATAAATGGCAACTTGGGGTAGACCTTGCAAAATGTTCTCCATTGTCCACTGAAAAATTGACAGGCTGATGATACCCCAAATGGAGTCTCATATAATGGTACAAACCCTAATGGATATTAATTATAGCA